GTATTTTGACGACGTAATTTTGTATTACTTTTATTTGTTTCGACTACGTTGTAAATAAAAATAACATTGTTTTAGTTAAAATGATATGGTAAAATAAACTTTTTTTCTTTAAAATATCTGTGTGTGTAAATGTGTTATAGAGTACATGTAAATCGGGGCTACTCTAAAAAGAAACACCTGTAAGTACTCAGCATTGTTTACATAATTTGAATAGCCTCATCCCTTTAGTAGACTCTTTCAAGATGGCGTCGCGCTTGTCGCGCAGTCCGCGCTCATCGCGCGGACTGCGCGACAAGCGCGACGCCATCTTGAAACAGTCGTGCACTTCCGAAATTTTGTAGCTCCTCCCATGGCTCCTGCGCGCCATTATTTCAAGATGGACGATTTCGAAGTTGCTCTCGCCAAACAGGTTCGCACGTACAAGCATCTGTATGATCACTCCGTGAGAGATCAGAGAGACCATAATAAGATCGCGCAGAACTCCTGGAAGGAAGTAGCAGCAGCGTTAAAGAGAGATGAGTCCATGTGCCGTAAGACATGGAAGAACGTGCGCGACCGGTTCGTAAAAGCCAAGAAAAGGTTCAGCAGAAGAGGTGATCGTGGACGAAACAAACCGGWGCCGACCATCCTCCTGGAGCTGGAGTGGCTCTCTCAGTTTGTGAAGCACAGAGAAACAGACACCAGCAAGGACAAAAAGGTAAAAGTGTTACTATATAACTCAGCACAGCAGCAGGCTSTGCCTTTGTTTATTGTTGTGCACGTGTTTGTTTTGTGTGTTGTGTGGCTGCAGTGCAAAGGCAGGCWGTAAAGTCAATGAAACACAGGTTAAAAGATCTTGAAATGAAGCAGCTATGCAGGAAATAATTATTTTTAGTTGTGGAAATAAGTGTTTCTAATCTGGGTAAATAAACTGTGAACAAAGTAAGTAAAATACACTTGGGATTTTGGATAAAAGAGGTTTTATTTTAAGAGGAAAGTTTGTTAAATGACCAAATCTAAAGGTGCTCTAATTGCAAAAGGTACTGTAAAAATCTAAAGGTAATTTAATTGTACACCAAGGTCTTAGCCATAGATAGTTCTCAATGACGTCATCATCCGGGACATTTTTTTACCCTCCACACTAGGGCTGCCACGATGAGTTGATTAGTCGACGACTAATCAATAATTAAAATAATCGATGATTAATTTAATAATCGATTAATCTTTTTTTTTTTTGTTCTTTACTTTGT